CCTCAGGAGCCGCTACAGGGTCCTGGAGGGCCGGGCAGGGGGGGAGGCTGAGCCCAGTGCAGGGAGCGGGAGGAGGCATTTTTGGGGTTCAAGGGGGGGGCGGGGTGGTGTGGAGAGAGAGGAGGGCACCCAGCTGCCTTGTGGGTGCTGCGGTCACCCAGGCGTGGGTGCAGTCTGGAGAGACGCCACCACCCCACCCGGATCCCACAAGCACCCCACGCCCCCCAACCTGGGCCCCACAGCGACCTCCAGGCCAGGCAGGTACATCCCAGGATGCCCCACCCCACCCCACGGCAGGAGCGGGAGGAGTACCCACGCCAGCCAGGTAGGTGCGCAGGTGGCTCGGGGCAAACCTCGCCGGCACCGGGACTCCGTCTCCCTTCCGTGGGCCTCAGCAGTCACCCTGCCCATTGCCCATCTCAGAATGAGCAACACCGTGGCCCGAGGTCAAGGTCGAGGTCGCAGCCCCCCTTGGCAGTGCTCCGCCTGGTGTGTGGAACCAGGCTCGCCAGGAGCTGCTGGCGGTGGAACATCCCAGAATCTCAAGGACCTGCCGCTTCACCACCACCAGCTCTCTCTGCGGCCCCTGCCCTGCCTTTGCTGGGAGGGAGGGTGCTGGTGCTGGGGAAGGGGAGGTGGGGCTCCACGTCCATGCCACAGGCTCGCCTGCCCGGGGGGCTCTGGCGGGCTTTGGGGCGCAGGGTGGCTGGGCTCCCAGCCCCGAGGCTTCCGGTTCCCTGGTTGCCGTGGAGATCGCTCATCCTTTGACATTTCCTGCCCAGAACCCTTCGCCCTTGATTCGTTTTTGCTGATTGTGTGGAGCTCTGGGAGGCGTGGCTGTGGTCTCTTCCGCTGCCCAGGGCTCGAAAGGGTGAAGTGCTGGTGGCTGGCATCCCTGCCCTACTGTGCGCCAGGGATCCAGTGATGTGGGCCTCGAGGGGCCTGGGGGCGGCGTGACTCCCTCCCTGTGCCATCGGGCCCTGCAGGGGAGCCGGACCGTGTCCCGCGTCCTCCTCAGACGGGCCGTGTGGCCTCAGTGCTGCCCCCGTTAGCCGGTTGCCCTGACTCGCTCACGCGTCCTGTGAGGAAGCACCCCCCCGCCCCCCCCCAGGCAGCACCGAGAGCCTGGCTGAGCCGGCGGGAGGCTGCATTAGTATCTGGGTCCGGGCGGGACGGGCTCTGTTCAGGGTTTCATGAGCCCGTCATGAAGACAGGCCTTTGGTGCTCAACGGGAATGTGCCCCGGGGGCCGGGCCAGAGCTGGGTTCCCAGGAGCCTGGCCCCTCCCGGTCCCCTTGCCGCAGGGACTCAGC